GAATAGTTGAGCGAGCAACCCTTGAATAGCTAGTAAACTGTAATATACCCTTTTAGTAGACATATGTAATTCTTCCACCAGACAGCTCAAATAGAGTGGTACTCCGTATAATTCTGCAGCAGCCATAATTTCTGCCAGTGTGGCCCACACACCTGTGTTCCTCATTGTAGTAATAATGTTGCTGCACCTGTGTTGGCCGGGGCATGAATGCAGAAAACTTGTTTGCAGTTTTCCCAATGTGTCCTACTATCTCATTCCGTACATCAGCATGCTTTTCTTGAGATCCATAGAAGAGTGTCGCTATTGCTCGGAAAAAGCAATTTGAGAAGCTTCCGGTTTTGCCTGCTAAGAAGCTCACTGATGCTTATACTGGGAGATGAACGAGGCTGTGTGGCTGTTGTGATGGTACACCGTTTTACCGCAAGTGGAGGCAGTGGCTTATCCACGAAATTGCCAATTTTAGTGTACTCATTACTTGTGAGAGCTCTAGCAAGAACCTCAGCTTTCATCTGTGCTTCTTCACCTGTTGAGTTTGTGTGTGTAGGTACAGATAATAATAGTGAGTATGAAGCCTCGTTCCCAGACTGCCCCTTACAAAAGCGAGAGGTATATTCTCACTAGAGATTGCACGGGACCTGGATTGGATGCCATTACTTGCAATACCCCCTCTATCCTGCCACTCCCTTCGCAAAAGCAGGGCATTGCAGTCCATGTCACATGTTCTGCATATTGTATGTGCAAAAGTACACACGCTTTTAGTGTAGGGGAGCGGAGCAGCACTGCTATGGCTTTCTTATAAGTGGGTGAGGCAATCAACACTTCCCATTAGGCACTTAGGCCAGGCACAACCCTGTCCCCAGACCCTCTGAGGGTCAATGCATGCTGTTGTAGTGACTTACTTGATTCTGTTAGTTTACTTGAAGAGCTATTTGGACCAGGGTCAAGCGTTGCCCACCATTGCCGCTGAATGCACCCTTTCTTTAGTTTTCCTGGTCCTCCATTTGATACGTTGTCTTTGCAGAAACGGCACACACCACACACCACAGCACGGGCTTGTACATCCTGAGCATTTTCCACAACGTCCTCTCTTTCCCTTACCATGTAACACAGCTGTTAGTTGCAAAACTTTGTGGCTTGTAGATAGTGGGACTCTGATGTCCATGAGTCAGAATCTGAGCAGATGCATGATGGTATGTTTTTTTGCACGCAACAATAGACCAAAAAATAAGACTAAAAAGGTTAGAGCTAGTGTTAAAAATCTTGTAGATCCAGAGCCAATCCCTGCTGCCAGTAGTCGGGAGAGAGAAATGGAGAGCTCAGAGTAGTGAGAGTGATATGGACCGACGAACGAGGAGGATGGCATTGCAGCTCAATCAGAGACAAGCATGACAGAGAGAAGGGGGACAGAGAGGGAGACCTAGAGGAAGAGGAAGAGGGAGGGGGAGAGGGAGGGGGAGGGGTAGGGGAGTAGGAGGGGAAGAGAACTGAGAGTAGATCAGGCAGGGCGACAATTTTGGACCCTGCAGACCAGAAAATGGTATGAGTAATTTACAGTACACAAACAGATCTGTATTTATCCCAGTAATAAAATGCATACAGTAACGCCACGTGGACAACCTCAGTTGAAGAACTGAAAGCCTATCTTGGCTTCATGGTAGTCATGGGGATAAATCGCCTTCCCGAGATCCGTGACTACTGGTCCACTGACGACAAGCTGCGCAACACGTTCATTGCGTCGAAGACACGCGACCGCTTCGAACAGATATCTCGCTACCTGCACTTCGTCGACAACACCCGCTTACCTTCACAGAATGAGCCTGGGTACCATTATCTGCAGAAGGTTCTCCCCAGCATCACACACATGAAGCGGAAGTGCAAGGAGAATTACAGCCCTCACCCCCAAAACAGTGTTGACGAGGCGATGATCGGCTACAAGGGTAAAAAACACAATCTGTTCACAAATACACATATACATGCACACAGGTCGGTCCTCCATGATTCAGTACATGCCCATGAAGCCTACGAAGAGGGGATTCACGACGGAAACAACATGCTAGGTGCTGACAGATCGTGACACCACATACAATGCGAAAGACTCTAATTATAGCACACTTCCCTGAAGACAAAGCGGGACTACCCACCCTGAACACAAACTGGGGCTCACACAAAACAGAATACAATCTCAGACACCCTTCAAAACAACGGCATCTACAAATTCAGACACTAGTTCGAAAATTCAGTCGGTGTGTTAGAAAGTCATATGCTACCTGCGTATTACAATGACATACCTTGACCACTGGTTTTCCTGAACTCCAAGAAGAGTCAAAAGCTTCAGATGAACTCTCCGTTGCAGCGAAAAACACACACACGAGCGTCTTCTCCATTCCTAGCCCTTGCGTATAGCGCGAATTGCATGCGGAGGGTGTGGCAACGCGTAAATACGAAACGTAAAAATTATATTCGACCCCAAAGAGTTTTAATTATAAAAACTAGCTTACTGGGTGTAACATAGGGTACGTACGTACAGTAAGTTCACACAGCGAACCAAAGACATTCTCTTAGTGAATTCTAAAATGCATTAAACTGACCGTTTTCATATGCTGGTCCATCAAAATTTGTCACTAACGCTGATTCTTCATCTGTCATTGTGGAAGCAGCAGTAGCAGCATGGACGTCAGAAGGCTGTGTAAGCGATGAATGGACGCGGTGTATGTGCCGACATATATGCCCGTTGTTGTAGTCATAACAGACTTCACACTTGTACATGTGGCAGCAAAGAAAGTGGCACTTTGCTCTTGGTACAGACAGCTGGGGAGTCATTGTTGCAGTCTGGGCAGTGGTTCATTACTTTTAGGATGGTGTATCCGGTAGAGACAACCCCTGAAGTACTGGGAAGGTGCCAAGTATCTTCCCCAGTTTCCTAGCAAAGAGAAACATGAACCAATGAACCAAACCAAAACACACAAGCCATAAAGTCTTCTGTACCAGTTCTAATCACAACTATCTTGTGTGCATGCCGTGAAACACAATGCTTGACTAAAGTATGTACTCACCAACATTAACTGACTGTACCTGTATCAGTGTTGTGTCAATTTTCATTCCCTGCTGATGGCGTTCTTCTTCTCTCAACTTTCTGGGATTTAATCCACTGAGAATACGCCTTTGGTTGTAGTTGAAGAAGCAGTCAGTCTCAACCTCAAGTAGAACATGAATAAGATAATCCACCCTGCGGTTCACTTTCCCATTCAGATAGTGTGTTTTCAGGTTGTTGTGAAAACTACATTTAAAAAAATGTATAATAATATACTAGGACCCAAGCATTTTACTCATATACCTTTCTAGGTACATATTCGTGTCTGTGTCAGCACCGCGCCCATTTTTCTGTAAACAAAGTAAGTGAATGCTGATTTTTCATAAAATCTTTACGATTTACCTGTACGATTGGAAAGTATGCCACAAAGTTTGCTTCCTTGGTCCTCCACATTTCCAGAAATTTTGCCAGTCTCTCAAGGAAAACCGCCACGCTTGGTTCACTTTCTAGTAGGCAGAGGGTCTGGTACAGATCTTGCTGGCACTCAGCTTTTACACTGCGAATTTGCTGTTTCCATGCCCTTGTGATAAAAAAAGAAACACTTGAACATTTCATTCGAGATGTGTGCGTATCGTATATTCACTTCTCAACATGCCACCGGCATAGTATGTGTCGCACACCTTCCCCAAATACTTTCCTTGCTGCTGAGCAGTACACATCATCTATGTATGATGATAGCATGTAGATTAATTGTAGATAGTAATTGCAATGCTTACCATCATCTGTCATTAACACTTTCACCATGGATGATGGACTCCTACGTTTGAGGCTCTCTAGTCATAAAATAATCTGTGGTTTCATAGTTAGTGATACACCATGCCACAGGCTGACCTAGTATGTATGTACGGTTATTTAGACACAGTGTGTAATGGTCCAAGTTTACATACCTTTACCAAACTCATCAGGCACTATGCATGTCACCAGTTTGAACTTGTATGGGTTTGTACCATGTGTTGAATCGATGCAGAGTACACTCCCAGAGAATCTCTCATAGAGTTCCCTTTGCCACTCTGTCTGCAGGGCAAATACAAATGCATCATCAGGTAATGAAGGGTAATCTGGCTCTGGAATATGCTGAGCTTTGTAGAGAAGAACCGGATTGTACACTTCATTGTAGAGTTCATTCACCATCATGTTTACAGAGGCCGCATCATCGGAATGTTTCAGGAATGTTCGATCACACACTTTTCTTCATAGGTTTGCCACATCTTGCTTGGTTATGAGGTGCCGCCTTTTTTGCTGTATCTCCAAATTGTTGACGATTCTCTCTCTCGCCTCGCACATCTGATGGATGAAGCGATTTTTAAATGCATTATTTCATGTTGTTCTGTATGTACCTTGCAATATCCTCTTGGTTGGAATTCCCTGAGAGAGCTTTAGGCTTACTTCTTCTTTTGTACTCTCAGGCAGAGGTAAAAACTTCAGCTCAGTGCAGTCAGGCTTGTGACCGGTATGTGTTGGTATGTAACATACAGTTACATGCCTTGCTTCATGGACATCAACATACATACGAGATATGCATGTGACATTCATTTTCCGGCTAATTTTCTGGTGAGGCCCATAAACACAGAACAATACTGGAGCTTCTTCGACACTGTGAGAAAGAGCACAAGGAAAATCTTGGTATATACAAACTCCATGCATGCACAAGGCAAATGACATGTCATTACTGTTTCAGGTGTACAACTTGTTTCTTTTACCGAGTTCAAACAGTGGAAAGAGTATGAAGAGGAACGAACTCACACTACTTACATCAGGGAAAATTGTGCATATCATCCTATTGTTGGAGCTGAAGGTGAGTGTTTTATCAAACAACAATTAAGGTATTAAGAGTGTGCTTGCACAGGTACACGTATTACAAGGTACTACTTCGTGTGCTGCCGGGATGGTCACTACCGTGGGCATAAATCATGCAATGTGCCTGAAAAAACACGGAGCAGTTGAACGGACAGAGAAACCGGTGGTTTGCCTGTGATTCTTCTCCATGAACCTTCACCTTGTGCTCACTTCGTCTAGAATACGAACTTGGACATTGCGGACACTGAAAAACTTTGAGAGTTGGCTTTTTATCCTGTAGTGTATTACAACTTGATGTTTGCTATTGTTTATATACCAAAGTGTTATAACACCTCGTTCACAGAAGTACACTTGTTCTCCTCGCAGCTACTGGCACAATTTGTTTCACCAGCAGTGGCCTGACCCACGCTGGCTTCAGCCATGACACTCGTAGTTCCCGCCAGCAGTACGTACGTAGAATACACATACAGGTTGTGCTGCTGCGCGCGCAACATGTGCGATCGCGCGCGCGTGCGCGTATAGGTGAGGCCACGCCCACCGGCTTCTCTGCACATAACGGGATTCGTACGCATTGCGGTACTGCGCAAGCCCGCGCGTTTGGTCATGATGACCTATGTACCGAAAAGGTCATAGTTTTAGTCTATATGTGGGAAAAGTGAAGACGCTGGAGGAATATGCCGACTCCTGCAGCCGGCGAAAGGTCGAAGTAAGCGTTCACACGCCACCGCGCGGAGCGAATGCATTCCGCGTTATCACGCATTGACGCATATTTGCGTCCTCGGCCCCAAAGAGTGGAGACAAGTCATCCGTGCGAAACTATCGTCCAATATCTCTTCTCTGCTCTGTGTCCAAAATCCTGGAAAAGCTGATCTATGACAAGATAATCCCATTCATATCTACATCTATCTCTTCCTGTAAATTTGGTTTTCGTCCAAAGTATTCCTCGACGCAACAACTACTGATCTTTTAAACACCGTTCACACTATTCTAAACACCCACTCACAAGCTGATGTTGTCTACCTCGAGTTTAGGATTGTGGTAGATCCCAATGTGTTCTACTAAATCAGTGCACATCTGATTTACTTCCTGTTATCTCAGGTGTTCCACAAGGTAGTATCCTGGGTCCGCTCCTGTTCCTGATATTCGTCAATGACCTTCCTCTGTCCATCAGGCATTCCCACATATTCCTTTATGCAGATGATACCAAATGTCTCAAGAATGTCTCCTCTCAATCTGACTCTCACTCTTTGCAAGATGACCATTCTTCCTGGAGCCTTCCGTGGAATTTAAGCTTCAACGAAAACAAATGTGTTTTACTCCGTCCCCGTGTCCTCCATGACTACACAATCAATAGCTCACCAATTCAAGTCCTTGATTGCTATCGTGATCTAGGAATCCTGATATCTAGTGACTTGAAGTGGGGCAATCACCTGACTGCTCGGGCCTACAAAGTTTTAGGCCTAATTCGGAGGTCCTTCTCCAATGGCCTAAGTATTTCAGGCAAGAAAAGATTATTCATCTCTCGTGCGCTCTCAACTAAACTATGCTTCCCAAATCTGGAGACCTTACCTCATCAAAGCTCTGGAAAGAGTACAATGATGTGCGTCCAAGTTTATCCTCAATGACTATCAATCAACTTACAAGCACCGCTTAATATCTCTGACAATCCTCCCTCTTATGATGCAACTTGAGCTGAATGACATTCTATTTTTCATTCGTTGTCTCAAGGAGCCTGACACATCACAAGCTTTTCAAATTCAATCCTTCATCATGAACTTTTCCAAAGGTAATACCCGCTCCACTACTTATCTTAAGTTGAATCACTCCTCTTCTAAAACATCTTCTGCAACCCACTTTTCTCGGCTATGGAACTCTCTCCCTCCGATAAACTTGGAACTATCTCTCCAATCTATCAAGCGTCATCTCTTACAATTCTTTTGGAATCACTTCAAAACCAACTTTCAGAGTACAATCTCACTTTCTTTGCCCATGCGCTAAGTGTTTCCAGTACATCAATAACAACCTGTTTCTCTTCAGTTACTACATCTTAGGACACCAGTACTCCCAAACTCGTGTTCCTTCAGTACACTTCTTTATAATTACCATTCTATTTTATAGATCACATTGTGTACTGTATAGCTTGAAATAAATAAATAAATATACTGGACTAGGGTTCTTTGACTAAGGTTCCAGTGTAAGGTTCCAGCATTAAAAAATCCTGCGAATCAAAAAAAAGAAGGCATATAGGGATAGTAAGAGAAAGGGAGACAAAATAGGGATGAAGCATGGTTAATGAACAGATTCCATATATTGTTGCCTGGTGTGCTACTCTTATAGGGGCTAAAAGCAAGCATTCTTTCACAGTGTCCCTGTGGATACTGTCCACATTCCTTTTAAACGCCACTCTGGACTCTATCAGGGTGTGGTTGACTCAGAATAGTGTATTGTAAGTAGTGAGCCTTGTAATGGTTCATCACCTAGGCAACATATAGGATTGTGTGATGGGTTGGGGTGTCAGCATACTCAAATCTGTTCATTAACCATGGCACGTTTATCATTATGCTCTCTATCAACACAGTGAGTGGCTATACCATGCAGATCGGTAGTACTTAGTATATAAGTGAATTAAATATCCTGCGAATTTAAAAATGAGGCATATAGGGATGGTATAAAAGAAAGGGAGACAAGATAGGGATGGGATACATGAAGCATGGTTAATGAACAGATTTTAGTACGCTGACACCCCCAACCCCATCACACAATCCCTATATTGTTGCCTGGCGTGCTACTCTTAAAGGTTACTAGCATTCTTTCACCGTGTCCCTGTTGTTTTAGTAACATATATACTGAATTAAACTCCACTTGGACTCTAGGGTGTTGGTTACTCAGTAGTGTATTGTAAGTTCTGATGGTGAATGTTTAATACTTCACCTACAACAACAGGCATTTTTTCTCTATTATCAATTTAGGCTTCCACAGAGATAATACCTACTAGTATATAAAAATGAGTGGAGACAAGTGAATTAAAAACCCTGCGAATTTAAAAAGAGGCATATAGGGATCATATTAAAAGAAAGGGAGACAAGATAGGGATGGGATACATGAAGCATGGTTAATGAACAGATTTGAGTACGATGACACCCCCAACCCCATCACACAATCCGTCATGGAAATGACGTGCATTCATCCCCATGTGTGCTGGTGTTAGCAAGTTTGATGAGTGAAGAAGTAATTATAAAGAAAAGTGCCTGAGGCTATTTGTTGTTGTGGAAATGATGTAGAACACATACGTACAAAGTTTCACCTCCATGCAGGCTACGAGTTTGAGGAGTGAAGAAGTAATTTTAAAGAAAAGTGCCTGAGGCTATTTGTTGCGGTGGTCGTCATGGAAACGATGTAATACACATGCACACCAAGTTTCACCTCCATGCGTGCTACAGGTAGCAAGTTGAGGAGTGAAGAAGTCACTTTTGTGCCTGAGGCTATTTGTAGTTGTGGTCGTCATGGAAACGATGTTACACACACGCATACCAAGTTCCATCTCCATGTGTGGTACCGTTAGCGAGTTTGAGGAGTGGAAGAAGGAAAAGTGCCTGAGGCTCTTTGTTGTTGTGGTCGTCATGGAAACGATGTAATACTCATGCGCACAAAGTTTCACCTCCATGCGTGCTACAGTTAGCAAGTTTGAGGAGTGAAGAAGTAATTTTAAAGAAAAGTGCCTGAGGCTATTTGTTGTTGTGGTCGTCATGGAAACGATGTTACACACACGCATACTAAGTTTCATCTCCATGTGTGGTACCGTTGTCGGTCTATGACAAACTCCTCGCTGATTTCCCCACGATCACCCGGCCGTGCATGACCGATGCTCCTGTTAAACACGATGTTACACATCATATCTCCACAACCGGCCCGCCCACTACAGCACGCCCTCGTCGCTTGGGACCCGAACGTCTTCAGATCGCACAACAGGAATTCGACCACATGCTAGAGTAGAGCATAGAGCTGGGTTTGCGCTGGCAATCAGGAGGTCGTCGATGTAGGCGTAACAAAAATGTAGGCCTCGCAACACTTGATCGATGAACCTCTGGAAGGTTTGCGCTGCGTTGCGGAGTCCAAATGGCATTCGGAGAAATTCGAATAATCCAAAGGGGGTAATGATCGCCGTTTTCGGAACATCCGCGGGCTCCACGGGGATCTGATGGTATGCCCTAACGAGGTCAATCTTGGAGAATATGGTAGCGCCGGCGAGGGACGTAGTGAAGTCCTGAATATGAGGTATCGGGTACAGATCAGGCACTGTGCGGCTGTTCAGTGCGCGATAGTCGCCGCAAGGTCGCCAGTCCCCTGGGACCATGTGCAGCGGTGAGGACCAATTGCTACAAGAGGGTTGGATTATACTCAACTCTAGCATGTGGTCGAATTCCTGTTGTGCGATCTGAAGACGTTCGGGTCCCAAGCGACGAGGGCGTGCTGTAGTGGGCGGGCCGGTTGTGGAGATATGATGTGTAACATCGTGTTTAACAGGAGCATCAGTCATGCACGGCCGGGTGATCGTGGGGAAATCAGCGAGGAGTTTGTCATAGACCGACAGTGGTTGTCCTGGCAAAATGGCTGGGCTCGGTGACTTTATACTGCAAATCACCCCTTGTACACTCAACTACATGAGACAGTCAGCAAGATGATGATTTTGCATGTCAACCAGAAGGCCGAAGTGACACAGGAAGTCTGCACCGAGAATGGGGTGCTTGACATTAGCTACCACAAACACCCACCGGAAAGTACGGCGTAGGCCGAGGTCAAGTGTGAGAGATCGGGTGCCGTAGGAGGTGTTGTTGACTGCCTGAAGGGTGAAGTTGTCTGCTGACTGTCGTCGTCGTTCGGATTCGGACGGGGGAAGCAC